ATTTTTCCAACACAAATGAGGGTGTTTTATATGATAGGTATACATCGAAATGTCCCAGAAAACTACATTGTTGTCAAAGGAGGAGAACAAGGACTCGGCTCATATGTTGATGGCATTGAAGGATTGGATCAAAATAATGGGTTCAAGCTTTTTGGAGTCAAAATAGGTTAAAAATACCACAAAAACATGTACTTTATGTTCTTGTTTCTTTTTCTTGGACTATTAATGATAATGGGCCCATCACCATCAGGAGCCCATGAAACAAAGTTTACGCCTTTATTGTCTGCTTCATCAGATTTGGAAGTAAAAGAACAGAAAACTTGAAACTTTAATCGACTCCGGTGAGCAGTTTTCTCTCAATCTCCAATCTGAAACCCTATTCATCGGGAATAGTGCTGAGTCGTATTTGTCTGGGTAGTAATTCAATTTGTGAATTTATTTGGTTGATGAGAGTAAACACTCTATTTTATGATGGAGTTCATCAAATAACCAAGTAGGAGTAGAATCAAAATGAAAATGGAAAAGCACCATTAAGAGAGTGCACAAATAAGTTGAGAATTTTCTGTTCCCCCTTTATATCTTTCCCGAAACCTAATGAATAAATACAATAGTTTCTAATGATAACTTTAAAATGAAAGATTCTTTGTATGATCTAATTGATTTTTTTTTCTTATTTGTTTTGACTGTAGGATGCTAGCAGTAAAGTCTATTTCTGTAGAAAACAGAGTAAGTCTCTGTTATTTTATTCATATTTTCATTCAGTAGAACATATTACATATTTATATACAAATAATGCCTCTAAACTAGTAAACTCTAATTTAGGAAAGATATTAATCCTAGGAGATATAATCCCTTGAAATAAGGGATTGAAAAACAGAGAATAATTATAGAATCTCTTAACTTACTCATTTCTATAATTCCTACAACCTTACACTTACATAACCTACATTCCCCCTCAAACTGGTGTATATATGTTGTATATACCCAGTTTGAATGACAGCTCATCAAAAGTCACTCGTGGAAGGGCTTTGGTGAAGATATCTGTAAACTGTTTCTTTGTCGGAATGTACTGCAGTTTTGCAACTCCATTGTTGACCTTCTCGTAAATAAAATGCTTGTCCATCTCAATGTGTTTCGTTCTATCATGCTGCACTGGGTTTTTTGCTATACTCATAGCTGATTGACTGTCACTAAAAATCTCAAAATTCTTCTTGTCATTTAAGTCCAGTTTTGTGAGTAGTCTTTTAATCCACATTCCTTCACATATTCCGAGAGCCATTGCTCTAAACTACGACTCAACACTATTTCAACAACGGCTTGTTTCTTACTTCTCCAAGTCACCAAATTACCCCAAACGTATATACAATAGCCACTAACTGGCATTCTATCAGTTAATTCACCTCCCCAGCTTGCATCCGTATAAACCTTCACTGTTTTGTCTTGATATTTTTTCTAAATATAAGTCCAGCTCCTAGGGTAAACTTCAAGAACCTTAGAATTCTGTTAACAGCTTCCAAATGTTCTTCTCGAGGATCACTCATATGTTGGATGACAATGCTCACTAAGTATGCAATATCAGGCCTGGTCAGTGAAAGGTAGATCATCTTCCCAACTAACCTTTGGTAGGTTTCCTTGTTTACTGGATTTCCAGTCCTTTCCTTGCAAAATTTGAAGCCTGGCTCCATTGGAGTTTCAACTGGTTTGCAGTCGAGCATCCCAGTTTATGCAAGAAGATCCAAAACATACTTACGCTGGTTTATGACTATCCCTTCCTCGGACCTTGCAACTTTCATACCCAGGAAATACCTCATACTCCATAAATCCTTGGTTTCAAACTCCATTGCAAGATTCATCTTTAGCTTTTCTATTTCTTCTATATCACTGCCAGTTATAATCATATCATCTACATAGACAATTAGGAGGGTTATCTTACCACTCAGTGTAATTTTTCTGAATAATGTGTGATCCGCTTGACTTTGTTTTAAACCATTATGTGTCATAGCCATAGCAAATCGATCAAACCAAGCCCTGGGAGACTGTTTTAAGCCATATAAAGATTTATTGAGCTTGCACACAGTTTTATTAGTAACCTTTCCTTCTAATCCGGGGGGACCTTCATGTATACCTCTTCTTCAAGGTTCCCATTCAGAAAAGCATTCTTTATGTCCAGCCGATGCAATTTCCAGTCCATGTTAACATCTACTGATAACAATATTTTGATGGTATTCAATTTTGCAACCGGTGCAAAAGTCTCCTGGTAGTCGATGCCATAGGACTGAGAAAAACCTTTAGCAACCAGCCTTACCTTGTATCTTTCCACACTCCCTTCTGAATGATATTTGAATGTGAATATCCACCTGCATCCAACAACTCTCTTCCCTTCTGGCAAATCTGTCAAACTCCATGTCTTATTCTTTTGCAACACTTTTATCTCCTCTTCCACAACCTTTTTCCACTCATGAGATTGAAATGCTTTTGTCACATTTCTTGGGATTTTCACACTGTTAATGCTGGCAGTGAATGCCCTGAAATTAGACTGTAATTTCCCATATGCAACATACTTATTTATGGGATGAGCAGTGTATTTTCTTACCCCCTTCCTAATAGCAATAGGAAAGTCATCAAGATCAACAATAGTAGCCTCTTGGTAACCATCATTACCTTCTGTTTCAGCTGCAATAGGATCCGAATCTGGTTCTTGGCAAATGCTAGGCTGACTGATTTCTTCAACAACATTTTTCCTTCTTCTTGAGCAAAGACTGAGTTGTTTCGGTTGGGGAGTAATGGTTTCAATATCATTGTTAGGTGCATTTTTGGTAGTGGTGGAAGGTGTTTTGCACGGACTAGAGTGCTGAGATATGGAGGAAGGTAATTCATCAGAGTTATTTAGGTTATTCCCATCACCCTCACTAGGAACTGGGACAGTGCTATCCGGCTTTGGAGAGACAATAATAAGTAAAGCAAGGATAGGCTATAAAGAAAAATTGGTTTGAACAGGCTGAAATTTCTTGTAACTCTCCCCCTGAATTTTTGTTCCTGAAAATTAAGGTTGGTTTTCAAAAAATGTAACATCAAAGGAGACATAGGTCTTTTTTGTGGAAGGTGAGTAACACTTGTAACCCTTATGACTTGAGGAATAGCCCAAGAACACACACTTTATGGACCTAGGATATAATATCCCTCTGTTGTGGATATGAACAAAGGTTGTACACCCAAACACCTGAGGAGAAAGACTTGAGTTTAAATGTTTAAAATGGGGAAAAAGCTGAAACAGAACCTTAGTAGGAATTTTGAAATCTAAAGTCTTACTTGGCGTTCTATTAATGAGGTAAGTGGATGTAAGAAGAGCTTCCCCCAAAGATACTTAGGAGCATTAGCAGCAAACATAAGAGACCTAGTAACCTCTAGAAGATGTCTATTTTTCCTTTCTGCTACCCCGTTTTGTTGAGGTGTGTTGACATAAGAAGTAAGGTGAACAATGCCTTTTTACTTAAAAAAAATACTCAAGGGTTTTATTCAAATACTCACTCCTATTGTCACTCCTTAGAATTTTGATTTTTGTGTCAAATTGGGTTTCAACTTTTTGATAAAAACTTTTAAAGAGAGACTCAACCTCAGACTTTTCTCTCATTAAGAATACTCATGTTTTCCTAGAGTAATCATCTATAAAAGACACAAACTACTTATACCCAGAAATACTTTTGACATGAAAAGGGCCCCAAATGTCACTATGGATGATGGAAAAAGGTGTTGTTGGTTCAAATTTGACTGCAATATATGGTTTTCTGGTGTGTTTGGCTATTTGAAAATTTTCACAGGAAAACAAAGATGGATCTTTATTTATAAATAAGTTCGGTAACATTTTGGAAAGATAGAAAAAATTAGGATGACCTAATCTAGAGTGCCATAACATAATTTTATTGGTATTGAGATCAGAAGATAAAATTGGTTTCCTAAGAGCACTGGATAAGGCATGGTTATGGATAAGGCTGGACTGTGTGGGCTGCCAATCGACAGGTTTTCCGTGCAGCTTCCAACATTGATCTATCATATGGACTGGTTTCTTACAATGTTCACACCAGAGGCGATTTTTCCTCTGCTGCTTTGAAAATATGAAATCTGAAATCTGAAAATCAGATTGAGAGGGGCTGGTCTGGGAAGTGATTACGGATGCTGAGGGATCCGAATTAGCCATGAAAAAAAATAGAGTTGAACATGAATTGATTTAAAGAGAAGCGAAAATCGGATTGATCGCTCTAACATGATACCATGTAGAAAACATATCAAGTCTCTGTCATTTTATTCATATTTTCATTCAGTAGAACATATTACATATTTATATACAAATAATGCCTCTAAACTAGGAAACTCTAAGTTATGAAAGATACTAATCCTAGGAGATGTAATCCCTTGAAATAAGGGATTGAAAAACAGAGAATAATTACAGAATCTCTTAACTTAAGGGATTGACAGCTCATTTCTAAAATTCCTACAACCTTACACTTACATAACCTACAATTTCATGAAACTGTGGGAAATGCATGTGGAACAATTGGTCTTCTTCACGGTGTTGGAAACATCACTTCTGAAATCAAGCTTCGTAAATTTGGTCTAATATTCATCATTTATTGACAAGGAATGCTTATTTTGACATTCATCGCGAGACATGTCGAATGTTACTATGTTTTGTAACTTTATATGCGGCACGGTGTCAATTCAATTATTACATTTCAGCTTGCTTGTTGTCAAACATATATGCTGTTTCCATGAGTGAGCATTTTATTGGTTCTTTCTGTTTTCCTGACATTAATGAGAAACGGAATTTCATGGTGATGTTCTCTAACCAACTTATATCCATGCAGGATTAGGACCAGGCTCCCTTTTAGCATTGGACTAAAAGGGTATTAGGTAGCTATTAGCCTATTTTGTGAATAACATCCAGTAACAATTTCTTTCCTTGTTTTTTTCAGAAGAGGGATCATATTTAGATAGATTTTTTTAAATCTACTGCAAGCATGTATCCGTTGGAGGTTTAACTTCTTCTTGCCTCTCTCTGTGTCACATGTACATGCGTGAGCATTTTTTTCCTTTTGCGATTTGTCATTGCTGACTTCATATTGTTGTATGCTTTAAAGCGTGCAGCATTTCTTGAGAAAGAAGATGAAATGGAAGTTGTTCATGCTGTAGCAGCCACAGCTGGAGAAACAGAGGTAAATCCGTTTTCAAGCATTTCTTTTCTACATGATGTCATGATTCCGTTAACATGAAACTGGAAAATCGTGAAGTTAGGGTAGGATACAAATCTGTATAGCACGTCTGGTATCTATACAAATCTTTGCAATACGTACTATGAGGGCTAATAATTCCATTTTATATTTGGTCGAATCCCATTTCTTTTGTTCTCTTAACAATTTTCCTTGTCAGGCATCAGACAATGTGAACACTCATTTTATCTGCTTCACATGTGTCGACGGTACTTACTCGGTTACTCCTGTTCTCTGTCATTTCAGAATATAACTAAATAAAAACGCCTCTCAATCTCTTGAATTATTAGTGATGCTTTTGGAACGTCTTAAATATATTTATATTCAGTGCTTTGATTGTCATTAATGTAGGGGAACTTTATGAGCTTGATGGAAGAAAGTCGGGACCAATTTCGCATGGGGCTTCCTCACCAAGTAGCTTATTGCAGGTTTGTGCTAGCCACCTGAAACATTCTTTGTGTGTTTGATTTTCCTTCTAATGTACGTTTTTGCTTTTAAGACGTGGAAATTCTTTTAACATTTCATTTTAGTTTTTGACTGTCATGCCCTCATTAAATTAAAAGTGGAAGAAGTGTCATCTCTTTCTTTTTCAACTTCGAATTTGAGGAGTTCCAACTGGTTGAACAAGTTTTAGTTTGAACCATCAACTTCAGCTTTCACAATCCATCTCAAACTCCTCCGGTCTGTTTTGTGTTAATTTTTGCTAAGCAAAACGTTTTGCATAAAGATGAGTGTTACTGTTTCACCCTTGTGATTAAATATTGCTGCGTTTCTAAGTTTAGTGTGAATGCCTGGTTTCAGCATTCTGAATACATGTTATCGTTAATTTCCGGAAATAAGCATACGCATTATGTTCTGATAATATAATGATCACGACTAATAGCCATTACATGCTTGTAAAACAGGATGCGGCGAAAGTCATAAAGAGCATGATCCAGAAAAATCCAGAGTCACTCAACTTCAACGTCATTGCCCTTCATAAGAAAGAGGGAATGGCAAGTACATCTTAATTATTGGCTATCAATTTCCTTCAAACAACTACAGATTAGAATTCAAATGGCCAGTCACTGCAAACATACTCGAAGCATATCATATGATCTTTCTCTATGTATGCCTTTCATCTTTGCATGATTACAACTTATATGTGCATAGCACCACATTGTTGAGTAATAAATTAGGTGCTGCTTCTGTTTTAATGGAAAACCATAGTGGTCGGTTCCGACTGCTACGTATTGTATCGGCTTTAAGCTATTCTCTTGGTTCAGGTGAGGGGTTGTATAATTCAGCCATCAAGTTAATGTAGAAAAGTCTAAAATATTATTTTTCATACCAACAAAAAGAATATTTAGATGAAGAATGCAGTAGGTGAGGAAGAGCACAAATCTTCTTGCTATTACATGCATGGTTTTGAATTGAAAAACAAAACACTAAAAATTTTATTATTTTATTTTGTACACAGCATTTTCTTACGTAATTTTTACTTGCTTGTGTGATACGCGATTGTCTTCTTTCAAACTATCATGTTTTTCTTATATTTTTAAAATTATCATATCATCTTTGACACGTACTCTAAATTTTTAAATATGAATATTATTCAAGTGTCAAATCTATACACTGATAAAGTTATTGGATAGTCCTTTAAAAACAATTACATTTGAAATTAGTATAATTGTATTCTATCCCTCCAAAATGATTATTTTGTGAACTAGTCAATTACAATGTTCAAATTCCTTTAAACAATCAATTTTAGCTCCTAGTTTTTTTCTGACTTGGTCCCAATTTAAGATTACTTGTTTTTATACTACAACAAAAATAATTACTACTTACGCTATCAACATTTTAGCTAGATCTTTTTAAAGTTTAAATCATTCCGCTATAGTGACAATCATGATCGATATAGTTCATTAGAGTCACTAATAACTAATTTAATAACCAGCATGATCGTGCATGAACCAACTTATCTCAGTAGTTAAAGGAATCGCACCAACAACTACAATAAGGTGATTGAGCATGTTATTTTAGCCAAAACATTAATCCTCGCAATTTGAAATTAGCTTAACCACTGGCTGCCGTTTAATGAACTTGGTGATGAGGATCTATTAAAACTAAATTAAATAAATTTGTTCGCCGTTTAAGACACTTGTTTAGACCTGAAAGTTTTGCTTTATCTACTTGCTAAGGTTTAGGTTTGTACAAAAGATATTAATTTATTGAATAAGTTGGTATCAACTATTTTATCTTTCTAATAATATTGATTTTAGTTATTTTTTTCTTTTGTATAAAAATTAAAAATGATAAATGTTTAAAATAATATAAATATTTTAAAATGATAAATTGTTAAAAAATTATAAAAATATATTACATTATTAAAAAGTTATAAAACTTATAAAAAAAACTATCAAATTCAGGAAAAAATATATATTTTTTTTAAAAAACATAAGATTTATAAAATATTTTTTACTTTTTTCGTCAATTAGTTCAATTTCATAAGAAAAATGTTAGAAGCCCAAAGGTTAAAGAGATTGAAAAGAATTAAGTACGCATAGAGCAAACTAGAATGAAAACATTTCTTAGATATATAAATTTAATAATTAAATATTATTATACTGATAGAGATGTCTTCAGAGATATGTTCTAGAAATAGTATCATCATCCATGAATTTAATTGGAGTATCGTACTTTCTAAATAGCTACAATCCCTTATTAAACCTTTAATAATCTCATGTGGTATGTCAAAATAAAATTCAATATATGATGAATAGATTTGTTTAATTTATTGAATTATAAGTAATTATAATTACCTTATGCGTGACATTATTAGTCAAGACTATCGTAATATATCTCAGCTACGGTTAAGAAAAATGAACTTTCTCTCGAACTCTTTTATTTTTTTACATAGAATAATCCCTTCTATCACGATATTTTTCGAATAGAATTCTTCTTTCTCTATCTTATGCCCAATATATACTTCATTCAGATTAAAACACATGTAATAAAAATTAACTAGCAAATTAACAGTGCTTTGTCGTTGACTGTTATTTTCTTACTTTTTTTATTTAATGTTTATTTTTTATTTTCTTTGAAAACCAAAGTTAACGCCGATAATTATTTTTTTTAAAAATTAATAATATTTTTATTAACTTTGGATTCAATTTATTCAATTTATCTTTTTTTTATTAAATTTTATTCTTTAGAAATTTGATTATTTGTGATAATTGAGATCGATTAATTTTATATCTTCTTCTTTTATGCTGATTTTTCAGATTTTAATTTTTTTGATTTATTTTATTAAAATTAACTTTAGTTTTTTTAGGTTTTATGTGGCAAAATTTCAAAAACAAATCATAAATATTTTTGAAATAATTAAATTTCAATGAAATAAAAAATTAATAATTCTTATATGCCATGTTAAGTTTTTTTATTATTTTAAATATAAATACTTTTTATAATATCAGAATTTTTTTTAGAAAAATGGTTTTAGTTATAACTTTTTGACAATATGTGAATAAATTTAACGTTTTCATAAATATTTTAAAAGTTAATTAATAATTCTTATATAATATATTTAAATTATTTTTTTTAATGGGAATAAGTTCATCTCATCGGTCTTTGACAGTTTTATCCCTTTTGAATTAGGTGAAAAATCTTAGTCGGCGAGAAAATAACTGTTGATCGGTGTTTTCTTGTGGGGGAGATGAAGACATAAAGAGGGGATATAAGAGTGAAGAAGAAGACAATCAAGCGATCTTCTCTCAATTGTAGCTAAGGGGTATTTATAATGACTCTAGATGATTGAGCAAGACATAAAGTCAATATGGTTACTAGTCAATCAACAGAATAAATAGATCTAGTCATCAAATTTTGAATTTCACTTTGATAAATAACTTGGGTCAGTTAGAAGTATTGTATATGCATTGTATTCATATGCTAAGATGGTATGAGTTCCTTGGAGGCTTCGGTAAATGGAGGAATCTTTCCGGGAGATTTTATCTAGCGAATGACGAGGAACGGAAGCGACCTCGAGAGGTATAACAATTTTTAAAAACCAAATATTTTTTTATGGTTTATAGTTTAGAAGTAAATGTCATAGTGTTTGGATAATTTATGATTCAATAATTATTTAAACCTCGGTGTTTGGATGATTTATGATTCACATTTTTAAAAATAGCGATGACTCAAATTGAATTTAAATTTATTTTTATTTATTTTATAATTAATTTTATTTTGATAAAATAAAAATATTTATATTTAAAATAATAAAAATAACATAATAGGTTCATATCTTCTTACATTATAAATTAAATAAATTTTAATTTTTTACGTATTATATGATTTATTGATAATATATAAAATTATATATTACCATTGCATCAAACATAAGAATAAAATTAGTTTATGTTTGTGTTTCGGCTTATGCGAATTCTAAGTTGATTATGGATTTTACGGAGGAGGAGGTTTGGCTTGCTGTTAAATCTATGATTCCGTTACGAGCCTGGGGGGAGGATGGGCTTGGGGCGTTGTTATACCGGCGCTTCTGGCATGTGATTGGTTCGGAGATAGCTGAGTACTGCATTGGCCTTATTAAGGGGATATACGATGTGGAGGAAATTAATCATACGCACATTGTTCTCATTCCCAAAGTGAGAGAGCCAAAGGGATTGTGCCAATTTAGACCTATTAGTCTTTGTAATGTTCTTTTTAAAATAGTGTCTAAAATGTTGGAGCATAAAATACAAAACCACTTGAATTATTGTATTGACGAAGCACAGAGTGCTTTTCTTCCAGGGCGTTTGATTACTGATAATGTCATTGTTGCTTATGAATTATTACATTCCTTTCAAAAGAAGCGTATAGGCCGTTTGTGGTTCTTTGCGCTAAAGTTGGATATGAGCAAAGCATATGACATAGTCAAGTGGTGCTGGAAAAAATGGGATTCTCTCAGGTCTGGATTGATTTCCTTAAACATTGAGTATGCTCGAAGACTTATTCAATGATCATCAATGGTGTTGCGGGTGAAGACTTTGTACCTCAAAGAGGACTCCGTCTGGGAGATCCTCTGAGTCCTTATCTTTTCCTCATTTGCATTGAAGGCTTGTCAACTCTATTTAGAAGAACGATTGATGTGGGCGATCCGCAGGGAGTTCGTATCAACAGATCTGCACCTAGAGTTTTATATTTTTTTTTTGCGGATGATTGTATAATCTTTGGGGAAGCGAATGCTCGGGTGGCTATTAAAATTAAGAAGATTCTTGGGTGGTATGGTGAAAGCTCGGGCAAGGAGATTAACTTTTAAAATTTGGGAATTTGTTTCAGCACAATAACCGTAGAGATGTGTGCTGCATTTTGGAGGTGGATAATGCAACATGTCCAGAGAAATACTTAAGGTTGCCATCCATTGTGGGGTGGAATAAGACTGGAGCCTTTTAGAAATGGGACTAAGGTGGAAGGTGGGAACAAGTTCGTCAATCTCGATCTGGAATGACTTCTGGCTGCCTAGTCTTTTTCCTCATCGGGTGACTTCTCCTCGTGTTCATTCTGTAACGGTTGTGGCCGACTTGATTGATGGTGAGTCAAAGACTTGGAATCAGGGCTTAGTGGAAGAAGTCTTTATTTGCAGAGGAAGCGAATATGATACTTGACATCCCAATTTCAAAGTTTGATCAGGCAGATTGTCTTGTTTGGATTGGTGAAAAGACGGGTTTGTACAGTGTTCGAAGTGGTTATCGAATGTTACTTCCTCGGAATCAAATCTCGGAGTTTGAAAAAGCCGTGTTTAACTACATTTGGGCTTGTGCTGTTCAAAGTAAGATCAAGATTCAAATATGGAGGTTTGTTCAAAACTTTATCCCAACAAAACATAATTTATACAGTAGACGTCTGCTTCACGATTCAATGTGCCAAAGATGTGATAATTTGGAGTCAGGTGTGCATATTATTCGTGACTGTGTGTTAGCTCGTGCAATCTGGACCGTGTTTCATTATCATTGGCCGGTTCATTTGATGAATGCTG